ATAGTTCAAACCCCGTATTTAGTGTACCAAAAAATCCAATACAAACACAGTCAACTTGTACATAGCTTATGTATGGCAAAATCCAATACAAACACAGTCAACTTGTACATAGCTTATGTATGGCAAAATCCAATACAAACACAATCAACTTGTACATAGCTTATGTATGGCAAATTTATCAATCAAATTACCAATTTTTTCCATCTCTTCCACGAAGAAATACTATTGATTTTATCTACTTACAAAGATCTGGAGGAGGTCTTTGGACACATTGTGGTAATTTGATATAAATACAGAGGTCTTTGGACACATTGTGGTAACGTCATAAAACTACGGAGATCTGGAGGAGGTCTTTGGACACATTGTGGTAACGTCATAAAACTACGGAGATCTGGAGAAGGTCTTTGGACACATTGTGGTAATTTGATATAACTACAGAGGTCTCTGGACACATTGTGGTAATTTGATATAACTACAGAGGTCTCTGGACACATTGTGGTAATTTGATATAACTACAATTTGATATAACTTGATACATTGTGGTAACATCATCTAACTACGGAGATCTGGAGGAGGTCTCTGGACACATTGTGGTGACGTCATATAACTACAGGGTTCTGGAGGAGGTCTCTGAACACATTGTGGTAACATCATCTAACTACGGAGATCTGGAAGAGGTCTCTGAACACATTGTGGTAATGTGATATAAATACAGAGGCATGGAGGAGGTCCCTGGACACACTGTGGTAGCATTATCTAACTATGGAGATCTGGAGGAGGTCTCTGGATATATAATGGTTATGCGATATACGATAGTAGCTTTCGGATATATTGCAGTTATTTACAGAGATCTGTGCAAGTTTTTGGCTACACTGTAGTAATATTAAACAGCTAGAAAGATCTGAGGAAGTTTCTGGATACACTGTAGTAATATTAAACAGCTGGAGCGATCTGGATAAGTTTTTTGGTACACTGTAGTGATATTAAACAGCTCGAAAGATCTGGAGAAGTTTTTGGATACACTGTAGTAATGTTAAACAGCTAGAGAGATTTGGACAAGTTTTTGGATACACTGTAGTGATATTAAACAGCTAGAGAGATCCGGGGAAGTTTTTGGGTACACTGTAGTGATATTAAACAGCTAAAGAGATCTGGGTAAGTTTTTGGGTACACTGTAGTGATATTAAACAGCTAGAGAGATCTAAGTAAGTTTTGGGTACACTGTAGTGATATTAAACAGTTAGAGAGATCTGGGTAAGGTTTTGGGTACACTGTAGTGATATTAAACAGCTAGAGAGATCTGGGTAAGTTTTGGGTACACTGTAGTGATATTAAACAGTTAGAGAGATCTGAGGAAGTTTTTGGGTACACTGTAGTGATATTAAACAGCTAGAGAGATCTGGGTAAGTTTTTGGGTACACTGTAGCAATATTAAACAGTTAGAGAGATCTGGGTAAGGTTTTGGGTACACTGCAGTGATATTAAACAGTTAGAGAGATCTGGGTAAGTTTTTGGGTACACTGTAGTGATATTAAACAGCTAGAGAGATCTGGGTAAGTTTTTGGGTACACTGTAGTGATATTAAACAGCTAGAGAGATCTGGGTAAGTTTTTGGGTACACTGTAGTAATATTAAAAAGCTAGAGAGATCTGAGGAAGTTTTGGGTACAATGTAGCAATATTAAACAGCTAGAGAGATCTGAGGAAGTTTTGGGTACACTGTAGTGATATTAAACAGTTAGAGAGATCTGAGGAAGTTTTGGGTACACTGTAGCAATATTAAACAGTTAGAGAGATCTGGGTAAGGTTTTGGGTACAATGTAGCAATATTAAACAGCTAGAGAAATCTGAGGAAGTTTTGGGTACACTGTAGTGAAGATCTCTCTAACTGTTTAATATCACTACAGTGTACCCAAAACCTTACCCAGATCTCTCTAACTGTTTAATAGGGTAAGTTTTTGGGTACACTGTAGTGATATTAAACAGCTAGAGAGATCTGGGTAAGTTTTTGGGTACACTGTAGTGATATTAAACAGCTAGAGAGATCTGGGTAAGGTTTTGGGTACACTGTAGTGATATTAAACAGCTAGAGAGATCTGGGTAAGTTTTTGGGTACACTGTAGTGATATTAAACAGTTAGAGAGATCTGAGGAAGTTTTGGGTAGAATACCAGCGACAGTTTGCACCTGAAGGAATATGAGTAAGGGTCCGTGCCACGAGATATCTATTCCCAGAAAGTGGACTCCAGATGTTCCACAATAAACAATACTGCCGAAGTTTCGTTGTTCGTTCGGGATACAATTCTGTTTGTATGTTGATGTCACATACATAAAGATAATGGGTAAAGTTTTAAAGCAACACAATTTTAATGACGGCTAACAGAAGAATATAGGATACCATAACTCTGATGTCACCTGCCAACAGAATCTTGGGCGGTATTTTGTTATACAGAATGTAGTGTAAGAAAACGAGGGATATCCTGCAAGGAGCTAGTGACTTAAGGAAGGGAAATGCGAATTTTTAGGGCATCAGCTACGTGCGCTAATTTAACTTCTGGTTGATAAAAGTTTTATAATTTTCTCACGCTCGTTCGATACAAACCATTGCTTTAAGCTTTAATTTTGTAATTTCACTAATTGTTTGTTTGTTTTTAATTATACACAAAGCTACACAAGAGCTATCTGTGCTCTGCCCACCACGGGTATCGAAACCCGGTTTCTAGCGTTGTAAGTCCGCAGACATACCGCTGTGCCACTGGGGGGGGGGGCTTCACTAATTGATTTCCCTTCTTTGTTTTATAAAATATCTTTAGCAAACAATCTATCCGATACATGTTTGTTTGTTTTTTGAATTTCGCGCAAAGTTACACGAGGGCTATCTGTGCTAGCCGTCCCTAATTTAGCAGTGTAAGACTAGAGGGAAGGCAGCTAGTCATCAACACCCACCGCCAACTCTTGGGCTACTCTTTTACCAGCGAATAGTGGGATTGACGGTCACATTATAACGCCCCCACGGCTGAAAGGGCGAGCATGTTTGGTGTGACGGGGATTCGAACCCGCGACCCTCAGATTGCGAGTCGAGTGTCTTAACCACCTGGCCATGCCAGGCCCTATCCGATACAAGTGAAAACTCAATCACTTGGAACGAGAATAAATTTATCTAAAACTTTAAACGAGCGTGTATTAATGGGATATTCCAACACCAAGATAACGAAATACGCTAGTACAATAGTACATGAATATAGTACGTGTAATTTAGGGGGCGGGCGGGTTAAGATTGATGTGCGTGTAATTTCTGACTACTGTAAAGTAAGGTGTAAACCAGAAGGTAAAGCCACAATGGCATATCTATATGGTGTCCGTTATTTTAAGGATATTACACAAGATAGTGTAAATACTGACAAGAATTATTATCAAATGGCACTTTGTTTTAAAGAAGCATCTAGAATTAGTCTGATGTATGAAGCACAGTTTTGAGGTATTTACCTATTTTTTATTGCTGAATTTTGTAAATCCTAGGCGTCGAAGCCCGGGTGTGTGTGTGTGCACACCTCCAAAGATCTCAAAACATAGGGCGGAGGTGTCTTTCCGCTCCCGTAGTTTCAGGACCAACCACAGAAACCATCCGATCTCCGCAGTTTCAGGACCAGCCACAGAAACGATCCGATAAAATGTATAGCAACACGCATATGGAAAAAGCACGATAAAAGAATTTTTACAGAACGATCTCAAAAAATAAAAAATACTCCTTAACGGTATTATTACTGGGGGCACTTTAGCTCCCCCTGGTTTGGGGCTTGTCTGTTTTCAATACAAGCTATTATAACGTATTTCATACCTCGTCAGTCTCGGAGCCGAAGAGCAACAGGTCGAACGGGATGGCCGCAACAACGTCGATAATAAACCAGCCACGAAGATAGTGGACCGCGATTCTTCCCGGATGACTGACAACTTCTTCATTAGAGTTCACGTAGGTGGTCCGGAAGTTAATAATTATGTCAATAATGAACATGACATCTACTAAAAGGTCGATGATGACGATGGGGTCGTCACCGTATTTCTTGTTGCGTTTGGCTTTGTTTTCGTTTAGCAAGAAGGCGGCGACGTAGGGAGTGAAGATAGCGGTGTAGATGACAAGGAGAAGGATTATCCAATCCCAGACTGCCTTAAAAGGGGAGTAGTGGAGGATGGTCCATTTGTGAACCCGAGGTTTCTGAAGCTTGTATTCTGGAAGAACATCAGCTCCCAATGAAAGGACCTGGAGAACAGAAAATATATTTGTAGCTCCAGATCCCAAAAACAGACCTGGAGAATAGAAAATAGATTTGTAGCCTCAGATCCCCCCCCCAAAAAAACAGACCTGGAGAATAGAAAATATATTTGTAGCCTCAGATCCCCCCCCCAAAAAAAACAGACCTGAAGAATAGAAAATAGGTTTGTAGCCTCAGATCTAAACGATAGAACCTGAGGGATAGAAAATAGCCGAGTTTGTAGCTTCAGAACCCAAAGATGGAATCTGGAGGGTAGAAAATAGATATTCTATAGCCTCAGATACCAAAGATGGGGCTAAGGAGTAGTGGGTAGATAATTCTGTAGCTTCAAAAACAAAATAAAATAAAATAAGAGAGCAGTGTTTAGGGAAGAGTCTAGCTTACAGTACATGATAAAGTTGTTTAGGGAAAAGTCTAACTTACAGTACATGATAAAGATATTTAGGGAAGAGTCTAATTTACAGTACATGATAAAGCTGTTTAGGGAAGAGTCAAATTTACAGTACATGATCGACCTGGGAAGAAGAAAGTGTACTTTACAGTACATCATACGTAAAAGCCTTGAAAACGAACTCATAATAATACTTCGAATACTGAATTAATAATAACTTACTACACACTCTCAACCATAATGAAGAAAAGTGCAAATAAAAAATGACTTTTTCAACATTCTTATGTAGAATCAGTATTGTTTGATTAACTCAGATTCTATGTCATTTCACCTGCTTGGTTACGTAGCTTGGAAACACGTGGTTTGATACAATAACAGAAGTTGGATATCACTGGTCTACAGTTTACCACACCCTTGCCAGTTAGACCAAACACGCCAGTTACGTTTACTTAAGCCCTGGTTAAAGTGGCGAGTTTCTCAGCTGCCTTTATTATGTAATGTCTGCAGAGAAACAAAATACCACTTAATTTAGTCACAAGGTGTCTCATGCGGAAACGCAAATGTCTTTTAATTCAACCTGGTTTTGTAAAAAAAAACAAAAAAAAACTGGTCGACTAGTAAGTCTGCAGGCTTATGATGCTAATAAATTCATCATGTTGTTTTAACTTATAACAAATAACGAATCATTTAATTAAAGTAATTTACAGATATTCAACATATTCAACTTTGCTTATGAAGAATGTATAGTCTGATTACCTCTACGTATTCAACTTTGCTTATAAAGAATGTATAGTCTGATTTACTTCTACATATTCAACTTTGCTTAGGAAGTATGTACAGTCTGATTACCTCTACATATTCAACTTTGAGTAGAACAGAACAAAATGTCTTACTGGAGTTAAGTAGTTGTAAGTCCTTTTGTTACTAGTGTCCAAGTTGTAGTTAATATATGCGTGTAAAAGCTTTTAAAATAAATATTACTGAACCATTTGAGGGCCGGGTGTGGGTTAGTGTTGCACATTGAGGCTGTAGCTGCATTAGAAGAGTAACAGTCAAAATCTACTATTCGATTATAGTAGTCGAAGAGTTGGATAGCTCTTAGGTAGTTTTGCACGAATAATATGAAAGCATAAAATAACGATAGCTTAGAAATACAAACGTAACAAAAAAATCACACATCAGGCAACATTGTTATATAACACACACGCATTCATGCAGCACAAAACTATATATATACAATACAATATTGATACGGTTACACTTTTTCACAATTCGTCATGTGTGTCAATGTTATACAACAATTTATTGTAATAACCAGAAAAGTCTGTTAAGCCTAATTCGTAAACGTAAGCCACATGCTAAGTGTGATTCCTAAGCCTAAACCACGTGCTATGTATTATCCTATGTTTTTGTTACTCTATTTCATGTAAACTATCCACATTAAAAAGTGTAATGTATCTGGAAATAACAACTGTATTATCAGTCTGATTACTTAAAATCGACTTTTAACAAACAAAGACATCATAATTTCAAGCATAAAAATTATATCTTATATATATTGTGAACCATGATGTCTGTCCGAGCGTTCGTCTCTCTCCCTTTGAAAAGTTGTGCACTCAGGCAAAGCTATACATTCACTTTTGAAATGACGGGAGAAAAGGCACGAATAATGTTGATATGAAATTTTATTTCACAAGCAGGATATCCTACACTAAATTGTTAGGAATTAATCTCACTACCATTCACATTTCAAAATGTGACGTAACTTAAAGAATAAAAATGTAGATTTACCGTATGTTATTGTTGAGCGGCTCTTAATATGGCTGAAATGCTCAACAATTACTTTTCGCGGTGGGTGGTATAAGTAGCTCAGAGTCCAACACAATTAACCTTTTAAAAGTCCACAAGATAATTTCAATTGATAGATTAACTTAAACTTTTTCTGTCACTGGGGACGGGTACTTTTGCTTGTAATAATATAATGCAATTCCCTCTAGTGATGTATGTACTACAATAATTTAGCATTAATGGAATAATAATTCTAAACCTTAATAGTATCTTATGCGCACGCGAGCTAAAAGGGCCAGGTTAGAGACCCCCTAGGACTCGGGTATTTCCGTCCCTAATTTTGAACTACTGATCAGAAAAAAAAGAAAGCCATTCAGCAGCATTCGCCGCCACAGGGGCTTTGTCTGGCTCTTTGAACAGTTTAATGGGACTGACTGTCACTTTTATAACGCGTATTTAGTGGCATCACATTTCGAACCGTTGAACTTTCGATAAGAAGCCCGAGATGATAAACACTGGGCTACGCCGCCCTCTTTATCGCATTCGCGTACAAATAATTTTAAAACTGTTTACGTTTTGAATTACGAATAGCTCCTTCGTAACTCGTTTCTTTATCATTAAATATTTTAATGTTTTTTTTCTCTTCCATATTATTATTATTATATTTTTTATGTCTTTTCTTACCGATAGATCTACACCCCTGCGCTACAAGGGTTTCAAAGCCGAGAGAAATTACCGTTACAAAATTTACCCCTTCGTAAATTTAACACTACATTATTATTCATGGCACAAAAACTTGGATATTTCACCAATATATATATATATATATATATAT